TAATACCTACCTCCCCTGCCTGACCTTATCTTCTTGGGAAATAGCCGTTTTGGTTAGGTCACCTGTAAATTTTAGATGAAGAATATCAGCCATCCAACCTCAGCCAGAATCCTCCAAATAAACCAGGGTATAACACAGGCAGCAGAGCTCAAGCCTTGTGTTCTGACCCGCCGTAAGCACAGAGCAGGTGTACACAGTTAGAAAGGTACACGGTTTTCCTCCCTGCCTCCTTTCATGGGAAACAGGCCGGCATCCAGGGCACCTGCAGGGCTAATTGACAAGACGGAACCTCGTCCTCTCTGTCCTCTTCCAACCATTTGGAGAAGGCGAACACTGGGAAGTGTGAAAAGATATAAATAGAACAAACTGGGGGAAAGTCTCTCTCTCCTCTTTGGTGCTCTGCCTTAGAAATATCCCAGATATGTGTTTGAAAGACAGGAGGGAAGTGGGCAGAGCCAGTGTCATGGGTGTGGGGAGCTGCACGTGGGTTTAATACCATAGTCTCACTGTCTTGAAATTCTCAATAATACTTGAACATGGGACCTCACAACTTCATTTGGTACTGGGCCTACACATTGTATAGTAAGTCCTGTAGGTGGGAGCTGGCAAGAACTAGCCTCAGGGAAAAGCAAGCTCATGCCTGACTCTCACTGGGCCTTAAACTGGTGCTTCTTGACCAGTTTCTGAAAGTATGTCAGAATAGAGGGACCTCGGACTCACTAACCTAGGTCTGAGGAAAAAGCAGTAAACAGCTCTCCTCAATTGTGACATTCCTTTGAAGGCTCATATATTTTATCCTAAAGAAAAAAAGAGTGATGTTTGCATGCTGTTCCCTAATATATCTGTTGGATACATTTTAAAAATAAGATAGACTCTACCGTCCCGCTAAAATCTTTAAGTAAGGCTGACATTTTGGCCCTGGCTGGTGCGGCTCAGTGGGTTGGGCACCAGACTGTGAAGCAAAGGGTTGCTGGTTCAATTCCCAGTCAGGGCACGTGCCTGGGTTGCAGGCCAGGTCCCCAGCAGGGGGCATGCGAAATGCAACCACACACTGATGTTTCTCTCCCTCTCTTCCTCCCTCCCTTCCCCTCTCTAAAAATAAATAAAATCTTTTTTAAAAAACCCAGACATTTCAAGAAGATATATCTTCTTTATCACTTGGGTATGAAGGTCTTCTGGCCTGTCAAATACCATCCCCCCATACCACCCCCCATGCTGTATCAATGGGGGGCACAGGCGCACAGGGCCAGGGGACACAGGCAAAGCTCTAGTTCAGCAAACACCCACTCATGAGACTCCAGCTTCATTTCTGTCCTCACATGGTCCCCCTCTGGCCTTTGCTGGCACATTATATAGCTCGTGGTGTCCGAGTCCTTTTTTTCTGCCCTTCTTCCTTTTCCTCTTCCTATGCAAAAATGTATTTGCTTGCTAGGACACAGCCCTAAAATTGATTTTAGTGTGTAATTCCCTGTGTCGGTTGAAGTTCAATCAGAGAAACAGAACCATTAGGAATGATACCGATGAGAGATTTGCTTTAAGAATCAAAACTTTAACCAGCAATTTTTGGAGCTCGTTAAATGGTCTATATAAGGCTACTAGTTCTGCGTCTGGTGCTGGGGCTGCAGACTGCAGGGTCGGTAGTTAGGAAGGAGAGATGGACGCAGCAAGGACAAACTGGAGCGTGCGAGGACCAGCCGAGCCCCTCCAGAACAGACGGGTATCCTAACATTGCTTATTGCTGGTGGAAGAACCACCCCTACCCCATCAAACTGGGTTGTTCAGAGCCTCTTTAGATAAGGAACAGCTGTTAGAGTTATTTGGAATGTAGGGATGCTGGAAATGGATAGAATACATGACACTACACATCTATTAAAAAAATGAAACTGCTGACTATCTCAATATTGTTTCTAATGGTGTGTGAAGAAATGTAATAAAAACTACATGAGAATGTATAATAAAGCATTCTATTCTCTCTGCTTGTGCCCCCCATGTCTTCATCCTTCAGGTTTCACTAAACAGACACATTTTCAAGAAGCCTCCTCTGATCTCCATTCCAGGCCCACCCCAACCCAGCTAATACCCTCGGTTACTCTGTCCCATGATATCCTGTAATTTCCCTTTTGTCATACGCGTCAAAATGGTAACTGAGTGCTTGTTCATCTCTTAATCTTCTCTAAAAGGACATGAACTCTATTAAAGTAAAGGCTGTTTTGCTTTTCACCATGGGAGTTACAGTGCTTAGCACATTATTGGATGTTTAATAATTATTGATAGGCTGATCAAATCAATCAGTCATGAGGAGACAAAAGAATTTGTTTTGGGTGCTGAGTATATTTATACTTTTATTTTGTGGAGGTATTATTGAATGGACATGGTTTTGGCTGTTTCAAAAGATCATTGAAAAGGAACTGATTCAAAGAATTTGCAAGTTATCAACTACAGCATTCCCCTTTATCAATGGTTTCGCTTTCAGTAGTGTCAATTACTTGCAGTCAACCATGGTCTGAAAATATTATTCGGGAAATTCCAAAAATAAACAATTCATAAGTTTTAAATTGCATGCCATTCTGAGTAGCCTAGCACTGTCCTGCTCTGTCCTGCCCAGACATGAATAATCCCTTTGTGCACTGTATCCACTAGTCATTCAGTAGCCTCCTGGGTTATCAGATTGACTGTTTCGGTATCTAAGTGCTCGTGTTCAAGTAACCCTTATTTAACTTAATAATTATGGCTCCAAAGCACAAAAGCAGTGATACTGGCAACTCGGATATGCCAAAGAGAAGCTGTTAAGGGCTTCCTTTAAGGGAACAGATGAACGTTCTTAATAAGGAAAGAACTATTGTATGCAACCCTTTAAGATCCCTATAACCATAAACCCCAAATCATTGATAAAATGATTATTCCCATTTTACAGAAGTAAGACAAAGAGTCTGCCTTTCTAACAAGTTCCCAAGTGATGCTGATGCTGTCCCTGGGCCACAGTTTTTCTAGGTTCTAGATCTTCAGCCTTCAATCGTCTGCACTCCCTACCTCCATTCTCTGATTGACCCCCTCCTCAATGTGCTTCCCCTCCAACCCAGCGTGAACTCTAAGGGCAGTACTTTCAACCATGCTTTGCCCCTCTGTCTTTCTGGATCAACAGCCTTGGCAATCTGCATCCCTGTACTGATAAAACCTCCAGTATCCAGCCACAGAACACTAAAGGAAACCATGCAACGGCCACTGTTTTTATAACAAATATTTGATTTCTAAGTCAAATCAGCAATCCTTCCCTTTGTTCCTCGTCAGTTCCCTTTCCCATTCCTTATTGTGACTTTGCCTAAATCTAACTACTTCCCTCAAGGCCCATACCGCCTCCTTTCAGGATTCAGTGAACACGATGTAAGGAGAACCTCTCTGAGCCATTTTTAGAAGTCACATTTAGCGTAGTAACTGCTGCATATCTTTTTTAAAAAATCCACTAAAAAATCCAAGAATATCACGGCTCATACCCCGAAAGGTGGTGAGTTTGATTGCTGGTCAAAACACATCCCTAGGTTGAGGGTTTAATCCCTGGCGGGTCAGGGTGCATATGGGAGGCAACCAATTCATGTTTCTCTCTCACACCAATATTTCTCTCTCTCTCTCTCTCTCTCTCGCCCATCCTCTCTCTCTAAAATCAATACACATATCCCCCAGTGAGGTTTAAAAAAAAAAAATCCAACAATATCATATTAAAATTTTCCAACTCTTAGAAAATTTTGCTTAATTAAACTAGATTATTTCTTTAAGAAACACCTCACACAATGAACCAGATCATGGCACGCTGTAGCCTTAGTTCTTAGACCTCTGTGCTCTGCTGCCTGGGATACCTAAGAGCTCAATTCTATAATAGTATCTATCTGCCACAAAAAGGGGCGTGCAAACTCTGGAAGGCACATTCAATTCACTTAAGGCACTTTAAAAACAATATTTTTCCTGGGCCTCGATGAGAGAAATCTCGTTCAATTCATTTGGAGTGGGCCCCCGGCACCACAATTTTTAATCTGTTGAAGAGGGATGTTACTGCAAGTCAGTGATTTTCAAACTTTTTATAATCGTAGTACCTTGGCACGAGTCCCTTGTTACCCTGACAGGTAATGCGTGGCAGGTGTATGAGGTCTCTGCCCGTACCACAAACTGCCTCAGGTTTTGATGAAGTCCTTTTTCTCCCCGGTGTAAACACAGACCACCCAACCTGTCCAGAAAGAAGCATTTTAGGAAGAGAGAACGGAAACTGACCGAGGAAGGATTAGTGGAGGGAGCGCTGGATTTACAAATAGTGACTCTGCTCTCTAATACGTGATTTCCAGTTTTAAATTTAACTGATTACTCAAATCTCCTACACCACATGCATTTGTTGGAAATTGTCCTGGACCCCCATTTGACAGCATTTAAAACTTTTACACATATGCATTCTTCTTTCTGAAATCCCACGCGACTTCAGAACAGGGCTGAGGAGCCTGGCGCGGCTGGGGGCGCGGTCCCAGCGACTCCGGCCGCAGAGACAGACCCCCCTAAGAGCCGGTGCCGGACACTCGGCACCCCGACCTCGCGCTGCTCTTCCTGGGGCGCCAGGTGAGCCGGAGGCGCGCCGGCCCGCAACGCCCAGCGTGGGAAATCCGCCGACCTTTTATTATTTCCAAATTTGCAGCAGCCAGACACCCTCGGCAGCGCGCCCACGACCCCATCAGCGACTGGAATTGTGACAGAGCGGGGGACACACTTCAAACCAACAAAGACTAAAGCGGCTGCCCATCCGCACAGCCCAGCGCGCCCCTGCAACCCATGGCGGCAGGAGCGCCGGGTCGTCCAGGTGCGAAGGCAGAGGCGTCCTGGCCCACGCGTCCGGGCTCCGCCCAGGAGGAGCCCCACGGCGCCTGAATGGGCAGGAGGGACGTCAGTCAGGACACGGGAGCGGGTCCTGGGAGTGCCCGCCCCCTAGCCGAGCTATAATGACTGGCCCGGGCTGGCGGCCGCGGGCGGGTGAAGGTGCGCGCTTGTGCCGGGGTGAGGTTGAGGGCGCGCGCGGCCGGGTGCCACTGCCGCAGCTGCCGGGCAGCGACTCGCAGCGGGGACTCGGGGAGGGAAGGAAGGGGCGGCGGGGGGCGGTGAGATGGAGGGTATCCCACGCTGCCCATGTTCCGGTTGCCCTAACTCCCGAAGGTGTTGCTTCCAACTTTCACCTCCTTAGGAAGCAGGAAACGATAGTGTCAGGATATCTGACACTAGAGTGGCAGTGCCGGATCTAGTAACGCCCATACTACCCCCCCGCCCGCTACTCCCACCCCCCAGTCCCTTGTCTGGTCTCAGCTTTATTATCATTTTTATTCATCTCTAGAACATGGACTTCGCCTGCCTTTGGCTAGGGCTGCTGCTGCCTTTGGTAGCTGCGCTGGATTTCAGCTACCACCACCAGGAAGAGATGGAAGAGTTTTTGAAGAAGGTTGCCCAAAACTACAGTTCTATCACTCACTTACACAGTATTGGGAAATCTGTGAAAGGTAGGGTCCGTCTTGCGCACTTTTCCAAACCTTGCTTTCATTCATTAAATATGCCTTAGCTTCGTGTCCCCTCTCTATGAAGCTACTCAGAGGAGCGCCAAGCGGGTACATCAATGCCTTGGCGGTTGTTTTCTGCTTTTTGTGTATTGTGTTGCTTTATTTTGTCAGGGGAGTAGTAACAGGATGACCTGAGTTTTACTAAATGCTTCTGCTGTCATTCGATGTCATTGAGTCCTAGGAGTGAACGGCGCTCTGTCTTTTTGGGTCTTGCAAACATCGGTTGCCTGGAATGTGTATTTTAGTTATTTTTCTAGATAAGCCTCTGCCAGAGAAGTCAGTCCGTTTATCCATCTCAGGTTTCCCTTTTTGTTGACTTTTTAAAATATGATTCGGACTGTTTGTTAATATCACGTCTAAAGGTCTCTTTTGAACTAAAATAGTGCAGTTCTGTTGATGAGATTTCCTTGTCATGTATAATTAGCCGAAATGCTTAAAGTTAAGCAAAACTATATGGCTCTGATACTGTTAAAGGCTGTTTTTAAAATCATCCATTTGAGTAAGACAATTGCTGGATAATAAATATACATTAAGAGTAATTGGTACTACTTCTGGATTTTTCATTGCTTTATTGATTTAATTTAGAAACTATATGAAGTATAAATATACAACTTTATATTAAGGAGTTATCATTTTTATAGATGGGGATGTTGAATTATAAAGATATTAAGTATTTTGCCCAAGATCACCCCGATGGTAAGTTTTATAACCTGGGTTGGCACCCAGATCACTACTTCAAGGCTTGGACATTGGGGCAAGGCAAACTCTTCTACCAGATATTACTTCTTAATCCTTTTTAACTGCATTGGTACCTGCAAAGAGATTACTGGAAATCTTAGTGCTTAAATCAAAAGTTTTCTCAAGTTTATGGAGTTTGGATCTCAACTTTTTAAAACTTCAAACCCTACATGGATTTTAGCTCTTAGCTTTTCAGCCCATTGGGAGTCTCTGAATTACCATATTCTTCCTCTTTCCTCACAAAGCTTTTTATATTAAAGAAGAGGCATTACATACATTTACTTGTGTGCAATGCAAAATAAAAATCCTGGGCTTACCTGTATAATGGTACCTTTGTTTTTAAATAACATCGCCAAAGAGCTGGTGCCAGAATTACTCTGCATTGCTCTATAATCTAAAATTATAGAGGTTGGATGTATGAGAAATCATACCTTGAATCAGCATATGTATTCAGCCTTTTGAAATCACTTCCCCCTGAGGTTAGAGAGGAGCAATTTTAAAAGATCTAAGAATGCTAATTATATTAATAAAGGAAATATAGAACACAACTAGCTTGAGTTATTGTTCAGTCATCGTTTAAACCACAAAATGAGGAGGATGTTGTTCATTTTAAGTACTAAATAAAGTACTAGATTTGGCAAGTTTTTCTTTCTGTAAGCACAAAGTGCTTGTGAAAGAAAGCTGGGGACTCCTTTAATGTGAACCAGCTATTTTGATCTATCCTGCGTGATATCAGACCACAGACTAGCAGGCTTAATTTTTTTCTACTTTGTATGCACTCCTGTGGTTAAAAGACTGAGGAGTTACCATGTAAAAATAACATAACACTAGTGTTCAAATGTTTGCGCTGATTATGTTCTGAATAATTACTCAGATTAAGAAAAATCCCAAATCTGCTATTAGGTTCCTGGTGGTAGGGTAAACTACACCCTTGCAGCTGGGAGTCAGTTGCCACTATTTCTGCATATTATTAGCATGAGCATTGAAAGACAGTGCTCCTTTGTTGGCGCTCTTCACTAGACAGGCAATTTTTCCTGGCCAACCTGCCCTCTAGTGCAGGAGCGCTGATCTCTTTTCCCTTGTTGTCAAATTAAAAAAAAAAAAAAAAAAGTGACAACAGACCAACATAACAATAGCCATTGGTGTGAATGAATCAAAATTATACCTATTTTTTTTGGTCAGATTGGCAAAAAAAATAACATTTTTTGGTGTGCCGCAGAATTTTAGTAGTTTCTGTGTGCCATGAGATTAAAAAAAAGTTAAAAATAGCTGCTCTAGTATAAGTTTGCTTCGCAAATAGGATTTATCATACATGATATTTACTTTTATTTTTGTTATGAATATGGGTAACTTACCCAGAAGGGAAAGTAATATACCTACCTTGCCAAATACATTTTCAAATTTTTGTAAATGAGTATTTCATATATTTTCATTGTTGTGATAATGGATTCCATTCTACTTTTTTTTCTCCAATTCTCATTATTTTATCATATATTTCCATGAATTGACAGTCTACAGATGTGAATTAGTTGCTATATAGTATTTTATCCTCTTGATTATCTGAATTTTCTTAGTCATTCACTTCACTGAGGCATCTGTATAGTTTCTGATAACTTTTTTACAAATAGTGATCCTATAAAACCATCAACACATGTCATGATAAGTACCTTCTATTATATTCAATTTTTTTTTCAGTTTTTTATTGAACGTGTTTCAAACCCAGAGAAAAGTTGAGTACATGTATACCTTTCACCTAGGTTCCAGACACAGTAGACTGGCAGACTGACCATATTTCAGTTGAATCTTTTGGAGAAACCCCACTACCTAATAACATAGTAAAGAAAATCTACATGAAACAAAAGAAGCAACTCAAACAAACAAAACAAAACAAAAAACCTGACAACTGAGTAGAGAAAAATCAGTAAAAGTACAATGTTCATTGGATCCCTCTGCTGTTCAGTTAAAGAAGCTTATCCCCCTTTCTCCCCTTTTTGAAATTTTAACCTTTATGTAGCAGGATGCCTGGAACATATTCAGTAATTTATATGTTAGATGGATTGAATATTTGCTGAGTGAATGCCTTGTGAAGCAAAGATGTGTGTCATTTGCTCTCTACCATTAGTAGTCTGCTTTAAAATACAAATGTATTGCTGGGAGGGGCGCAGATGATGAATCCACCAGTGGTGGATAAAAATTTGGGAGGGATATCTTGGGAGTGAGGAGTCCCAGCCCCACACCAGGCCCCCTCAGCCCAGAGTTCCAGTGCCAGAATGATGAATCCCCAAAACTTCTAGCTGCAAAAACCAGCGGGGATAGAGTCAATGGAAGAAACTGCTAGAGTTCTAAGTGGTTTCTCTTAAAGCAGCCACATAAGGACTCACTTACTCAGATTCACTCCCTCTGAGCTCCAGCACCAGGGTAGCACCTTGAAAGGTACCAGTGGCATACAGGGAGGAAGTGAAGTGTCTGGCATCAAGACGAGCAGAGGCTATTATCCCTTTTCTGCATCCTCCCCCCAACAGAGCCATGAAGCCTGCAGGCTAGTGCCATATCTGAGACTCCATCAACCTGGGTAACACTGCCCTGCTCTGAAGATCCCCAGAGACTCCGTCCCACCCAACTTATAGGCCCATCCTGGCTGCTTTTCCATATGAATGGCTGGTCTTGGCTCATACTTCACAACTTCCTAAATCCTCTCAAACATGCAACAGCCAGCGTCAGTGAGCGCTCAGTCCCTGTGCCCCTTGCTAAGTGGCCCTAGGCCTGGCACTAGCAGCAGCCAGCATAGATTCACAGCTTGGCTTTGCTTAGGAATCTCCAAGCCCAGCACAAGTAGCAGCCATCTCAGACTGCTTTATAGCTCAGGAAGGGTGGTCCCAGGCAAATCACAGGTGGTGGCTGACCTTGGCCTGCACCACTTGGGAAATCTCAAAGCCTGAGCAACCAGGGGACAGCTACAGACCATATCAGAGCACCAGCACCCTGCCCCTGCACAGCTGATCCTCCACAGAGGATGGAAGTTGGTGGTCAATGGTCTCAGTCCTTGCAGCTGACTGGCCTGGTAAATGCCTCCCATTGACCTGACAACAGCAATCAAGCCTCAACTACAAAAGGAGGGTGTATCACAAAGAGTGCACCTCAAGCACCCAGTTTGGGTGATAGAGGAGGCTGTGGTACTGAATTTTACAGGACACCTACTATGTTAGACCACATTACCAAGACATGGAGTTGAAGCAGCTCTATCTAATACATAGAAACAACACAGGGAGGCTGCCAAAATGAGGAGACAAAGAAACATGGCCCAGATGAAAGAACAGATCAAAACTCCAGAAAAAGAGCTAAATGAAATGGAGATAAGCAATCTATCAGATGCAGAGTTCAAAACACTGGTTATAAGGATGTTCAAGGAAATTAGTGAGGACCTCAACAGCATAAAAGAGATCGCATAAAAACAAAGGATATACTAAGTGAAATAAAGAACAATTTACAGGGAAACAATAGTAGAGCTGATGAAGCCCAGAATCAAATCAATGATTTGGAACATATGGAAGCAAAACAATCCATCAGAACAACAAGAAGAAAAACAAATTTTAAAAAATCAGGATAATATATGCAGCCCCTGAGGCAACTTCAAGAGGAACAACAGTCACATCATAGGGGTGCCAAAAGGAGAAGAAAAAGAGCAAGAAATTGGAAATCTATTTTTTAAAAAATGAAAGAAAACTTCCCTAATTTGGTAAAAGAAATAGACCTGTAAGTCCAGGAAGCACAGAGTCCCCAACAAGATGGATGCACAGAGGCCCACTCCAAGACACATCATAATTAAAATGTCAAAGTTTAAAGATAAAGAGAGAATCTTAAAAGCAGCAAAAGAAAAGAAGTTACTTACCTACAGGAACTTCTGCCTGAGAAAAGACTGCCACATAAGACTTTTCTTTTGGAGCTCACATAAGACTGCCAGCTGATTTCTCAAAAGAAACTTTGCAGGCTAGTAGGGATTGGCAAGAAACATTCAAAGATGTGAAAAGCAGGGACCTACAGCCAACATTGCTCTATCCAGCAAAGCTATTGTTTAGAATTAAAGGACAGATAAAGAGCTTCCCAGGCAAGAAAAAACTAGAGCTGTTCATCATCACCAAACCATTATTATATGAAATGTTAATGGGACTTATTTATGAAAAAGAAGATGGTTAAAACTATGAACA